TCAGATATGATAAGAAGCAGAAGGCACCGCTTCCCTTTGCCCGTTTGAAATTTTTGATCCAAATGATGATTGTGTAAGAATTTCTTTACTACTACCAAAAAAGGGCATTGCATTTATTTAACATGGATACCATAATGTCTTTTCGAATTTCATTTTTAGAAATAACTGAACAATTTGGGCTGAAATTGTCCAAAAAACTTTACCATGTGCCATGAGAAATTTCAGTCTGAATGGTTCAAGTGAGGCAATGTCATAAACAAGGTCTTAAAGTGGAAGGTGTCAGGAAACCTGACTAACAGACGACTCAAGGAGACAGCTTGAACATCGTATCTGGCATTATGTTCATTATGCCTGGGTGTTTCAATTAAAGATGTTCCAAGTAACATAGCTACGTATGGAGAATACTGCCTACTCACTACTGCACATACTACATACTGCTACTGTACATAAGGAAGATCATTTAAGAGTAATGGAAATTATACCCAGCTGTGCCTCCTCTAATTAGGCAGAAAATGCTTGCTTTTATGTTGACTTTCTCAGTTGCTATGTCCTGCTGTTAAAATAATTATTCTCTCTGCCTTGTCTGACCCAGAGAGGGATACAGACAGGGGTAGTAATCTCGCTTAACCAGCCTAGCCAGGAACTGTAATGTTCTCATCAAGACTTTCCCCTCCCATATCCCTGTCCCAGTTTTAACCAGCTAAGTTCTTGGTAGGAAGGAGGAGCCACAAATGCAGGCAGCACCAGAATTTGTTCACCAAGATTTGTCTTCTGTGAATAAACAACATCCTCATAAGGCATAATAAAAACATGGTGATTAAGGCAGAGGCTTGAAGTCAGGACACTTGAAGTTTATGCTTGGTCTTCTACAATATATTCTGGGTGACTTTGTGAAAAAACCCTTGACTCAAAATCAGAGACAAGCGCTCATGAATTTTCAGTGCTGAAGTATTTCTGTTGCTGATGCAGATCAACATGTCTTGAAATGGACAACATGTAAATAATGTTCTTAAAAACTAGGAGTAGTTTTGAAAATGTAAATGTTAATCTCCCTTCCCTCAGTTGCCCCAGCACAACATACCAAGCAGGTTCAACTGTGACTGACACAATTAAAACACGGTGACTTCCTGGATATGCCAACATGTGTGAAGTATTAGGTTTTTAAATATATGTTTTGCCTTTAGAAGAAACGTTGCGTACTCCAGAGAGCAGGGAAGACTCATAAGTGAAAGCAAATCTAAATCATATCAATACCCCCAGAAACTGGCCGTGGTTGGATACAAGACATAAATGTAACATATTGTAAAGTCAGCATCTTGTCCATCTAGACCAGCGGATTGAGACCACGTGCTCCAACTTGGGCTTCTCGCTACAGAGCAAGCATAAGTCAGTATACACCTTTGTAGCCAAGTCATTAGGATACTAATGAAGGAAACAGCCCTGGAATTCACTATTCTTTTTCTAGAACTTTTTTTTTTAACCCATTCCTATTTCAAGTAAAACTGAAAACAGTTCTACAAAGTGGCAATTCTAAAACTCCCTACTCTCCGCTAAGTGCTTAAACTAAGCAGCCGTAAAACTAAACTTTTCCCTGGCCATAGAAAGGCCTGCACTGAAGAGCTGCACAGTATTCTTTCCCCTAGACCGAAAAGGAGCTCGAGTAGAGCCCACCCCCTTCCTGCGCAAGTTCCAGCCACCAGGCTGCTACAAAAGGGAGAAAACTCTGCAGCTGCTACTGCATTTTCTATAGGCTTCATCTAGTTTCATGGTCAGGGTAGGCATATTTTGAGAATACACACTGAAGTGAACCCTCATACTGAGGAATGCTAGCTCTCTCTGAGTTTAGGCATGAGCTGTCACTGAGCTGTTAAGTCCGGTGCAAGATTAACTGTTACCCAGAAGTTCAATACAGATAACTGGAAGTGCTAGGACAGAAACTTCAAAATCATTAATTAAAGCATTTAGGCAACTGGGGCATTTAAAGGATTGGACAGTATTAATAAGCAGGAGCTTTCAGTAGTGCACTTTGGATATGAGCGTTTAAATCCTTTATTAGATATGAGCCCTGCTTCCTGGATATTTTTTTCAATTGCAACATGAAAAATCATGTTTGCAACTATTTGCTAACCACAGCATAAGCCCCTACGCTGAGCTAAGATCGCTTTTCTAATTCTAAACGATGGAGGAGAGCACCATCTAGTGACATAAGATAAAATTACTGATCAGCTGCTAAGTGATCTCTTTGATCGTGTTTGAAAATCAGGAAAAAAAATCAATTAAAATATTTAATTCACAATTAACATTTATCCTATCAAAAGCTTGAAGAATTTACTGCTATCAAGTGTAAGATGACTTTTCCTGTCCTGATTGAAGGGAAACAAAAAATACTGATATTGTTTGTTAAAAGCAGGCCTTACTCCTGATTCTAGGTTTTTTTTCTTTTTCTGTTTCTTTTTTTCTCCCCAGGAACTTCAGCTGCTTGGAATCTATTTCTTTTTTAATTGTTCTGCTTACTGCTTTCCTTTATTCAGAATAAGAAAGTAATACAAAGCTTAAGGAAAATCATTCAAAAGGGGCAGATCAACAATGAAAGCTAATATTGGCATCTGATGACAGCAAGCCATCAAATTCTAATATTATCATTAGATTGAATGATTTAGAATGATTAGAATAGATTCTAATATTATCATTAGACTAGAATGATTTTCACAATCAGATAATTAGGTTACTCTTTGTGTCTAAGTAAGTTCCAAGTTATTATTAATTTTATTTGTCTTGATATATTCAAAATACTAGATTTCTTTTTAGATTTCTTCTTAAAGAATTAAGTTTCACATAAAATTTCATAGAAATTCATATTTCAAGGGAAAATGAGTTTTTTGTTCATATTTTTACCATATTTGACACATTTTTGAAGTGCAATAGTGTAAATCAGTGGAAAAGTTATTGTATGTCCTCTATTTAGATTCTGCAAACACAAAATGACTTCTGCAAAGTGTATTAAATTTTAAACAATGTTTTATTCTAAATTTTACACAAATTATTAAAACATTGTACAATTGATGAATAATGAACATTAAAAAGTACAACACTGATAAAGAATTATGAGCCTAACTTAGAGATCCTTCCTATCATGGTTTCTCAGCAACCACATGTTGTTTTTTTAATTTAAACCAGAATCGTACTAAGTTCTGTTAAATTCAGTTTAAGAAAATCAATTTCAGAAGCACTACACAGATTAACTTTTTAGAAAAATGCATTTATACTTACAAATTTTATTTATTTCCAGTTAGCTTGGAAAGAGCCCAAAATACTCTGGGGCAGAGAGTCACTCTTTTTTTTTTTTTATCCCAATTTCTGACATTAGCAATTTACCTTCACATCTATGCTAATTTGTCACCACGTGTCATTCTGCTTTTTTGCTTGAGCACCGGAATAAATTCTTTTTTCTAAGCAAAACTAGCCCAGTGCTCTGTCTCCTACACAAGCTATATCTCTTCTTGAACAGCTTTTCACAATAGCTTTCATTTAGTTCTGTTTTACTATGGCTGCAGATGCTGTATTGCCTCTTGGAGAAGACATTTTTTCCATTCAGCTTCATGGAAGAAGAAAAAAGAGGTACTTTTCATACTATTTTCTAATTTATAGCCTTAATTGTCTTCAGACTATATTACTGAGCTGAACACAGTGACGAAATAAAACAGGGACAGCATAAGAAAACGGGTCATTAAAACTGGCTGATGATTTCTGCATTCATTGGTCATTCAAACCACAACACTGATCTACTTCAGTGTGCTTACTCCTGTGCATACAAAATTCATACTGACATCTATGAGAGGTAATTATGATCTAACCTATACAGAACCTGAATAATGGCAGTGTAATTTAATTGTAATCCTCTAAAAAAAAAAAAAAAGAGAGAGAGATCTATGACTGATTATGGGTATTTTGATAACGCAGCTAGAAGAGCCACACAAATATCATATCAGTTGGCTTTTCCCAACGAAATAGACCGCATACCGTACTGGAAACAGCAGTCGAAAAATCTACGGTAATTTCCATAAAGTAAGTAATTAATGATGAAAAACAAACCTCCCAAAGCTGCCAGTGCACGTTTGCAAACCTGCGGCCGCGAACGAAGTGCAGGTTTGCGCGGGCGCCCCGCCGCGGGCCGGCCCCTCCG